ATTTGATTGAGATTGCTGTGAGCTAGGCTGACGCCATGGCACTCACTCTAGCCTGGGTAATAAGGGCGAGACTGTCTAATTAATCAGGAAAGGAAAAAGAAAATGTGTTAGGAGAGAAGGTTGAAGTTTTTAAGCAGGGAGAGGAGGGAAGATCTCATGGAGGTTCCATTTGAATACAGACTTGAGTCAAAAGAGCAAGCCATGCACACATCTAGGGGAAGAGTTTTCCAGGAAGAGAGAGCAGAAAACACAAAGGTTTCCAGATGGGTGTGTCCCTGACATGCTCAAGCAACAGCCTGGAGGCTGAAGCGGGGATGGTCAAGGATGACCAGGTCTCATGGGAGGTATAATCACAGACTTGTTCAATCCAATACAGTAGCCACCAACTACATGAGACTATTTATATTTACATACAATTGAATAAATTCAAAATTCCTCAGCCACTCCAGCTGCATTTCAAGCACTCAGTAACCACATGTGGCTAGTTAGTGGCTACCCTACCTGGCAGCTTAGAAAATATTTCTGCTATCGCAAAAGGCTTATTGGACAGTGTTGACAGAGCCTTATAAATTGTACAGACTTTGGCTTTTCCTCTAAATGAAATGAAGATAACTACAATAAGAAAGAGAACATAAAATTAGTATGTTTCAAATATGTAAAAGAGGGAATCAAAGCCCAAGAAAATACTAAGACTGTGGAAAAGGACAGATTCAAAAAAGAATCTACAGAACTTCTAGAAATTAAAAAAAAAAGAAATTAAAACCTCAGTGGCTAAATTAGATAGCAGATTAGATAGCAGAAGAGGGCATCAGTGAATTGGATTATAATACTGAATCTTATACAGTGCTTTGTGGGGGCCAAACACTGCTTTAAAAGCTTCATTTAATCCTCACAACAGTTATAGGCAGGTGAACAGTATTGGTTTTCCCACAAGCAAGGAAACAGGCACCGAGAGGTTATAGCTTCTCATTCAGGCAATCCGAAGTCTGTGCACTCAACCACTATGCCATATTGTCTTTCAGGAATTTACCCAGCATGCAGCACAGAAAGATAAAGAGATGAAAAATACGAGGGATTAAGAGACATGGGGGATAGAATGAGAAGCTCTAATGAACATCCGATAGGAATTCCAGGACACAATAAAGAAAACAACAACAAAAAAAGATGGCTGAGAATTTTCAGAGTTGATAAAGATAGATCCTAAGATTCAAGAAGCACAAGTCTCAAGCAATTAGAATACAAATGAGCTCATAGCCAAACACACAGTAGTAAAATCACGTAATATCAAAGACAGAGCAAAGATCTTTAAAGCCGGTAGGGGAATTGATTCCTGGAATATGGAGAGGCTAGAAGCAAGATCTATAGTGGGAGACAAGAGATCTGTAGTGGGCTGTGAACACGGCAGTGTGGATGTGCAATGTGGCCCTGGTGATGGCACGGGCTGTATTTTAGGTAGGAAATACTAGCAGGTTTGGGTGAGTGACTGTATTCAATCTTAGTTTCCCATTAGCAGGATTCAGCTGCTCCCAGGTCCTTGGGAGAGGCTAAGCATGCTCTCAACTCATGTAAGTAGGGGGCGAACATAGCTCTCAGAACCTTAATGAATGCAAGATGAGCATTTTAGGAATAGTGAGGCCAACCTGGTGGCCATACCTGGGCTGCTATGATTGGTCATGATATGGAAAATGGCACTGGGACACGGCTGTTTGTCGCCTCCCCATCGCTCCGCATCTCTGAGGGCCATCACTGCGCATGGCCAGTTGGGGGCACGTTGCTGGGGCTGGCCCTGCGGCAGAGAGCCCCCGCCTGCCAGAATACCCCTGGCCCCGTGCCTATTTCCAGCCACCCTGCTTGCGTGATCCTGATTGGGTAATTTTTTGAATCCCACTGTTTTTGATTGGATGTTAAAGCTTGATGTTGATCGGATGTTAAAGCTTGTAGTTGATTGGATGTCTTTTGAGCCCCACCAAGGGTATAAAAGCAGGAGAACAAGGAAGGGGGCGGGGAGAAGATCAGAATACAGGAAAAGAGCTGTAACACTAGGTGTGCTGAGCCTGCCAGAGGAATAAAGGCTATTCTCCTGCTCGCTTCTTTACCAGGTCAAGAGCTGTAACACTAGGTGTACACTTGCCGGGACAGTCCAGGGGGGGGAGGCTTTATAGCTATTCATGGTACCTATAGTTGTGCCTGTGTGATTTCATTCTCTACTAAGAATCCTAAGCAGTGTAAAATAAACACACAACGATCTCTCACATCCTTTCTAGATATTTTCTACACTGATCATAAATGTTAATGAAAGTTTAAATAACAATTAAAAAAAACAACAACAAAGTTTCAGCAGCCTCTGTGGTCAGCACAGTCTTGTCAGAGCAGACGTGTTTCAGCCACAATTGTAAGAAATGACAGAATACAATCCTTGCCTCCCTGTAGGATTTGATAACTTAGAAGAAACCAGACAATTAGAATTGTCTCATTCACGCCTTATCATACGTGCTAATGTTGTGAAACACCAAAAGAGAAAGATATTTTTCTGCTCATATCGCTAGCCTAGGCTTTGCTACACACGGTTTATCAGACCGTTCCATTCACCCACCCTGTTCTACCCAGTGAGTCTACCCTGAGGAAGTGCTGATCCAAAACAATGTCCTGTTCTCTCTCTTCTGTCAATAGATGGCCAGTATGGGGAAGAAATGTGTCAGATGAAGACAGCTATATTATACAGAAGGGCTGTAGATCCAAGTCTACTTTTACAGACTAATATTTTAATGTTAAAATGCTATACACAGCCCACTGAGGGCCTGCATTAGAAAACAGGCCTATTGTAGAATAACACTTTGATAAATGTCTCAATTAATTATCAATAAGCTTTGGAAGAAGGCATGATAAAACCATTTCGAACATGAGGAAACTGAGGCTCAGTGTTAATTAGCCAAAGATTTCTCAATTATTTTGTGGCAGATCCAGATCTGGAACCAAGACCAACCTGACTCCAAGCCTATACTCGTTCGTTCCACCACACAACTGCCCTTTTATTGAGGCTGATCCTCCAGCGCCTTCAATAGCCCAGCAAGGATGGCACCAGTGAGAGTCAGGGGTACTTTGATTTGGCATAGTTTATTACAATTAGTATGCACAGAAAACCACGTAAACTCCACAAAGTAAACGGTTTATCCTCCATGCTAACCAACAACCAAGATAGTCTGCCATGACCTTCCAGCACCCTCGCTATTTTAACATACACACATTTCACAGAAAGTGAAAACCATACAAATAGGATTATAATACATTTTTTAGGGAAAGGATTTTTTGGTCCATATTTTCTATTAAAAACACACACAGACACTTTCCTCTTTGGTAAAAGAGGATAAATCCCTCACAGTTAACTCACAAAGCAAACTCTGATAAAAAGCACGGAACATGAGGTACAGCTGAGGTCTGGGCTAGTCTAGGATTATAGATACTGGAGGGGAAAACTGTTTCTTACAAAATCACTCAGCTCCCAACCGTCTCAGCAGAAGAGCTCTTTTTAGACTTGGCCTTAGTAGCTTTTGTAAGAACATATTTCAAATAATTTTTTTGTTTTTCAGACAATTTTGTTTTTCAGGACAATTGAAAAGTGTGGTCATCTGACCTCGGCTAAATTTTTAATCTGAGGTACAAAAACATCTGACACAGCAATTCAGGCTGTAATTGCTGGGCCACCTTCATTTCAATTTGTTGAGCTCGCAGCTTTGGTTGCCTGTAAGTCTCAGCATTCAGCTTTGCAGACAGTTTGAAAAGGTGGATTTGCATATGAAGGCTGCATAGCATCTTCCAGGCCAGAGGGGAGGAGGAAGAGCCCAGTCCCTCAGGCCTAACATAGTGGGGTCCCCTGCAGGTTACGGGCCGCTGGGCTGCCCTGACTGACCACTTCACGTCCCCTTCTGAAGTGCAGTCTAAGGAAACAGGCAGCTGCTGGGGTGTTGTTTCTTTGTCTTTAAATCTACAAATCATAATTACTAAACAAACAACCACCCTGGTGTGCTTTTCAGGCTTCAAGTAATTCATTTCTTCCAGGAGAAGAATGTTAAAAATGCTTTTAGTTCTAGTTATCAAAGGAAAGGAAATGAGCCACAGTAACAAGATTAGGTTTAAACAGACCTGCTGCTAACACGGTATCAGATAATACAAACATACTGAAAAAAATGAACATACTATATTATATGTTTTTGCAACAGCTGCATTTTCCCACTTAACCTATCGTGCAGAACTAAAATCTGATAAAGCAAACTTAAGTTACTTTAAATCTTGTTAAATATGATTCTGTACAGATTGCACATCTTACAACAAAGCAGCTTAATATCACAGTTAGAGAAATGAAAACGCCATCTGAAATTCTCATTTTTCTAGCCCAACAAACACCAACGGACTCTCACCCTAAGGGTCAGAACAAAACTAGCTGCACAGTTTTGTAAACAGTGTGAGTGGCGGTCTCCGGGATCCTGCTGAATCTGTCTCTGTCTGGAACAGCAGTCTCCCTTCTTCCAGTGACTTGCAACAGCCCGACGCTCAGTACCACAGCAGGTTTCTTTCACATTGCGTTCACAAAAGAGCAGTCATGGCCGTGGGGCTGAGGGGTTTGAGGCAGTCTCTGGGGGTTGAATAACCACCATTCATCCCGGGATGCACCGGTGGCTTCCGAGGGTCGGAGTCCCCGCTCTCCGCGGCGAGGCAGCCGCCGGCTTTGGGCTTGTCGTAGCCGGGGTCGGCGGGCCTGGCGCTCGGCGGCATCTGGTAGTCTCCGGGGCAGACGCCGCCGGAGGACAGCGAGTGCTTGTGGCCGGGCCCGGGCACGCGGTAGCCGCTCCGCGCCGAGAAGGTGTGGGCGCGCAGCAGGTGGCGCTCCACGATGGGCGTGGCGTACTCGGGCTCCGCGGGCGCCAGGGGCAGCGCGTACTCGTGGCGGCCGGCCCCGAGCGGGCAGGCGTAGTGGCCGCGCGCCTCCGCCTCGGCCTCGGTGTCCATGGGCCGGAAGGTGGAGCCCTTCCTCGTGACCGTGCCGGTGCCAATCATGAGGGGCTGCTGGTAATCTGAAACCAGAGAGTGAGGAGAAGACCACTCGGTAAGGACAGGCGCGCGTGCCGAGGGGTGCTCCGCTTAAGGTAGAGGGTGGGGAGCGGCTCTCCACGGGCGCCCCGGGTGCCCCCCGCACCGTGGGAAGGCACAGAGGCCAGGCGCGGCCTTATTTAATCATACTGCCCGCTTTAGGAAGCCTCAAAGGATCACCCAAACCCAGAGAAGGGAGACATTACGTTTAACCCTGGGGTATGGCAGAAAATACTTCACCGGGGAAGTGGCTCCTAACCAACCACTTTGGTACAAGTGTCGACTACAGTCGACAGCCACAGACCAACGCGCACAGCGGCTTTAGCCGAGAGCCCTGATAGGACTTTTCTGATCTTTCATTTATCAAAATAAAATTGTGAACATTTAAAAATAACGTAATAAAAACATTTATGTATATGTTACCTATTCTGATTTACATTACGAGTAAAGCTGCCTGTAAAGTAAAACGAGCTTTCAGTGCTTTAAAGCTTTCCTCATCACACAAGAGCAAAATGGATTCGTCGTCAATGTACAGCACAAACTACTGTGCGGACTATGAGTGCCGCCTGTGGGCAAGGTTTCCTGGCCGGTGAGCGGCATACCGAAGTGTTTTTAAAATGTCATTACTAGTAATTTATATTGTATTTTATAAATATATTTGTCCATGATGATTTAGAAATTTTTTTAAAAGAAACAAAAAGCAGAAAGAAAGCAGATCTTTCCTCCCAGTTTGGGAAGCTCGACTATGGATGATGGCTTCTTGGGGACACTGAGGCCATCCTAATACTGGAAGAGTTCCTTCATTTCCTATCTCTTCTCCAAGGACAGGAGCTGGATTTAATTCATTTTTCTAGTCCCTCTCTCCCAGTGCTTTAATCAAAACCTTGGTAACAAAAATAGATGAAGGGTTTCCAGATACCAGTAGTACTTCAGGGCCATCACTATGGATGTCATCAGATCCCCTGCAGGTATAAGAGACTCAGCTGAATGGGGCTTTTGAGTAATAGCTCAGTGTCAGTTAGTAACTCTGTGCAGCATGCAGAAAAAACTGAACACATTTCTGGTTTATTGGACACTAAACAAAAATATTTTGTCATTTCTCTCCTGAGTCTGCCCCCCACCCGTGAGCAGCATGTCCTACCTAAGAGCACAGTCCCACAGATGTGACACTTACCAGCCATATCACTTGTGATGAGATCTAACTTTTGTGCCATCTCCTTCTCATTATCATAGCTGATGGTAAACTCAGCTGACTGATGTCTGGCAAAGGGATATTTAATCTGCTTCCAGCAGTCTGGAATAAAGTTAACATAAAAAAAAAACTAATATATCAGAAATGTAACGCATGTCCTCCATGACATGTTCCTCGATGAGCCCGAGGTCAGGCCGTCTCTTGCCCGCTGACAGTGATAAATGTGCAGCCAAAGCCCTTCAGGTGTGTATGCTGAGAACAGTGTGCTGAGGTCATCAACGACAGCAGCAACACTGTTACAACTGTGCTCTCCACTGTGCCTTTAAAGGGTATTGTGTCCCCATCAGGAGCCAAATTCTCCCAACGTGAGACCATCTGGGCACAATTTCCCACGATCTGCATCCACATGGCATCCATGACACAGAGGAGCCAACAGAGTCCCCAAGAGGTCTCTGAGACTTGCCGGAAGCCCTGCTCCTCCAGGTTCTCTCTGAACCATGGCTAACTTGGTGCTTGAGCATCCTGTGTCCTAAGGATTCTCTGAAACCTGCACATGAGCCTGCCTGGTCCTTTCCTCATTTTCTGAGAGTAGAAAATACAGTGGAGGCCTGCAGATGCTGAGAGCACTGGACCACATTTGGTCCCCCAGTGGGGCTTTTGTAACTTCTCTTTGATGACAGTGTAGTGGCCAAAACTCCAGCAGCCAAAAAAAAAAGGAATGTCGACAAATGATGGGGATAGGGTGATGATGAACAAAAGTAAAGTGGCCATGAAAATTCAGAATTAAAATTATGAGACAGGATACAATAAAAATTCCTTCCTTGTAGATTTGCTAACTGAGAGGCTATAGGGTTTATGTTTTTTTAACCATGTATGTGTGGGCCACCAGCCTCCTTAGGCTTTCAATCAGCAAATCCTGTCCCATCCTCAAAGACAGGGTACGAGTGTAGGGAGAGATTTCAACCAACCTGTTTTCTGAGTTTCAGCTGATCCATACAGATTTCCTTCCTTCTTCTTCCTATCAAGACAAAAAGTCCTACTAAATAATTATAAGCCAATTTATCTGCCTCTTTCTCCCTGTAGAACATGAGGATCATAATAGTACTTATCTCATACGCCTGATGTAAGGATTAAATGAGACAACTGCCATGTGCTTGGAAAATCATCTGAATATATAGAATTATATATAAATTTATCTCACTTTATACAAGAGGTCACAATATTTTCACCAGAAGAATATATACTAACTTTATTTTATATATTAGAAATCAGTACTTTGTTTTATTTTCTCACCAGCTCATGCAGTCAGTAAAATCCTAGAGCAATTCCTCATGACTACATGCTCTCACTTCGTCTTTTTACTATATGCTCCAGTCCAAAATTGTGAGTGTCTTTAAAAGCATTTAACACAAATACATTACACTAAGATATGCTTTAACTTATGAATATCTACCTGAAGCTTAAAAACCAGAGATTTTATACCTTTTCTCACTTTTGTCAGAAACTATTCTTCATTCTATTTGCACTAATATACACATTTATATAAGTTCCAAAATTGTTTAAAATATAAAAAAAGAAAACTTAAAAATACTTTCCAATTTTTGTTTAGGTCTAATACCCAATATTTGTTACAATAAACATGGAGTTTTGGATTCTGGAAGAGACTCAGCACTCATCCAGGTAAACTTTATTTTATACATGAGAAGACTGAGGCTTGGGGAGATGAATGACTGGGTTGCTTGATGACACAGGTGAGACCAGAACATGGGCCTCCCAACCCCCATTCTAATACTCCTTCCATTTTATGGGTGGAAGAAACACAGATACCTCAAAAGGAATATATCAGTCCCAGGATACTTCTTCAACCACGCTCATCATTTAAGTCTTTATCAAAGGTTTCTAAATGATAAGAATAACTTTTAAAGTAATACTTGATCATTTCTACTTCTACCTAACTTGTTTTTGAGATATTCATTAATGGCTGGATGCAGTGGCTCACGCCTGTAATCCCAGCACTTTTGGAGGCTGAGGCAGAAGGATCACTTAGGATAAGGAGTTTGAGACCAGCCTGAGCAATATAGCAAGACCCCATCTCTACAAAAATTTTAAAAAATTAGCTGGGTGTGGTGGCACATGCCTACAGTCCCAGGTATTCGGGAGGCTGAGGTGGGAGGATGACTTCAGTTCAGGAATTGGAGGTTGCAGTGAGCTGTAATCTGGCCACTGCACTCCAAGATCCTGTCTCTAAAAATAGATAAAAAAATAGAAATTTCTGTTAACATTTTCTCTTGAAAAAGATCATGCTGCTTTTCTGCACGTGAATATCTGAAGAGTAGACTTTTTGGTTTTTTGATGGTTTGCAAATTTACAATGTAAAGTCACATACTTTTTAAAAGCTGCAAAGATCCCCATTCCAGCAACCACTATGACAACGAAGAGCACCAATGGAACCACCACAGCTTTAACTTTTGTTCCTAAAGAAGGGAGAAAGCCACCACGTTACAACACAGATGACCAGCAACCAGATTGCATCATCTAAAACTGAATATTGATTTGAAAAGTCCTTAGCTATTTTAATATATGAGGAAATAAATATATGAGGAAATAAATACATGCTAGGCATTTACTGATACTAGAAAGCAAAAGGAGAGGATTCAAAATCCTGGCTAAAGTTTAGAAAAATAAAATTTAACTTTTTCTCCCCCTGCAAAGGCAGTTTCCAGGGTTCCTCAGGGATTAACATTTACCATAAGCTTTTTGCTTGGCCCATATTAGATTCCAAAAATCAAAGGGGAAGGTTTAAAGTGGGCCCACCCAGACAGAAACTATTTAGATAGGTAAATGATTGAAGTACAGTGTGGAGCTACTACTTTGGCTCAAGCAACTAGCTTCCCCAGATGGTGGGCAGGTCCGGACTTGTACCCCAACAGCAGCCTGGGGAGCCTGAAATTCTGGTCACCAGAGCTCTGGAGCTGTAGACTGACAGGAAATACAGCCTCATGACCTCAAATAGCAATTCCCCTGTGCCGAATGAAACACCACACCATCTTCTCCTCCAACTCTTTCTAAAAAGGCCACTTTAAAATAAATAAATAAATAAATAGGCCACTTTATCAGCCTCTAAGTTTATAGAAACTATGCAAACTAAAGGAGAAATATTTGTGCTTTACCCTTCTTTTCTGTGATGCCTCAGGAGAAAACAAAGGGATGAACAGAAGTAGAAAAGTGTAGTTCACCAAGAGGAGGAAAAGGAACTTAGATGGGAACAAAACTTATGTAAATAACAGCAGTGCTTATTTATAACACTGAAAATGTGGGAAAAAATCTAACAAACATCCAACAGAAGGGGAATGGTCAACTAAATAAGGAGATAGCCATATGAAATAATACTATCAAGATATTAATAATTCTGTTTGTCAACTATTTAATAACACTGGAAAATGCTCATAATACAATGTTAAATGAAAAATAGATGCCACAGAACAGAATATTTGATATGCTAAAATTTTTGTCTTTAAGTTAGAAATATAATACAGTTGACTAGATATAGTGGGATGTGGTGATCATCTATGGATGCTGATTTATGGCTGCTTTTCTTCCTTATTTATATTTTTCTAATCTTTCCAAATTTTATAAAATTAATATGTAAAGTATTTTATATTGTGAAAAAAATAAATGCACTTTTAATGTTCACTACTTAAATAGATTATACACTCACCATGTTTAAAATTCAAAAAGTATAAAAAGGTATGGAATGGGCCAGGCATGGTGGCTCATGCCTGTAATCCTAGCACTCTGGGAGGCCAAGGTGGGAGGATTGCTTGACGTCTGGAGTTTGAGACCAGGCTCAGCAAGAGCAAGACCCTGTCTCTACTAAAAATAGAAAAAATTAGCCGGGCATACTGGCACAGACCTGTAGTCCTAACTACTTGGGAGGCTGAGGCAGGAGGATGGCTCAGCCCAGGAGTTTGAGGTTGCTGTGAGCTAGGCTGACAGTACGGCACTCTAGGCGGGACAATAGATCAAGACTCCATCTCAAAAAAAGAAAAGGTATGTAATGGAATGTCTCCCTCCTACCTCTGTTCTTCCTCCGTAGAAAGCCAAATTATGTTTCTTCACATTCTTCTAGAGATACTGGAATGAATATTCATTCCTTATTCCTCCTTTTTATACATAGTAGAGTGCTACATAGACTGTTCTTTAGTTTGCTTTTTTTTTTTTTTAGTTGTTGATATATCTCAGAAAGCTTTCTATATTACTAATACTTTTTTTTTTAATGGCTGCGGAGTAGCCATTACATGAATGTGCTAATATTTTATTTTTCCATAAAATATTTGCCCAGTGTTTGAAGGGCATATAAGTTTGTTTCTAAACTTTTTCTACTTACAATATTGCAATGAATAGCTGTGGACATATGTCATTGTACATCAATGCAAAATACCTCTGGACCATCTGCCTCTAGCATTTACATGACAGAGAAAAATAAATTTTGTTGAAAGTTACTGTGATATCAGGTGAGATGTTAGTCATGCTTCTTACGAAACCACAAAACAATACTGCTCTACCTCTGTGCGTTTCTTCTGAGGGGATGGGCTTTGTGATTGTCTCATCTTCTTTCTCAGTTGAAACACCAGTGTTTAGACTTGTTTTGGGCCACACCAATGAATCATTACCTGAGAGAGAAGGGATGTTGGAAAAAACCACATTAGTAACAATGATACGCAGAAGGAGATGATCAGACTTCAATAACTCACTGGCTTGCCTTGAGCCCTACCTTGTGTAATTTGGCAACCAATAAGCTCCACTTTCAAGGCTATCCTCTGGTGCCACGTCTTGGGGACAACCCGCACATATCTGGCCACAATGGGAGGGATGAAATCGTTCTGCACTGGGTCCCGAAAGTTGGAGTTACCCTGAAACACCTATAGAAAGAAGTTACTTTCACCTGAAGGTTCTATTAATTAATTTTTAGGTCTTTATCATCCCACTCACACCGGGTTATATGAAACCAAAGCAATGATCTATCTGTCGCGTTTTTGCGGACACGCTGGATATTGAAGATACAAGGCTTTATAAACAAAGGCCAAATTATCTAACTAAGATGGTACTGCTAATCTGTCTTCTGCTTTAAATTTTAATTTGGGTGAAGAAGCTATTAATACAATTGCCCTTTTACACAACTTGGCCTTGATATTTCTACATTAATCTGGTGCTACTGACAAGCAACCTCAAATGCACAAGTCTTCAGCTCTCGCTTTTGCCATCCCCTTCCTCATTCTCATTGCCACTAACAGCATCTCAAAACAATTTCCAATCCCAACATCCACCACACTTATACGGAAACAATCATTGCAAGTTAGTTATCAACTTTCCCTTTCCAAGAAAATGACAAGTATCTCATTCCTGAATGAGAAAAGAATTAAATCACAAAGATCACATAAGGTTTTTATTGATATAGTTCTTACATTTGTATGCTCAAGGAAGCAACATCGTTATCTTTTATTAATGACATATTTAATGTAAACACACTGATGAAAATATAGAGAGGTCTGAATATCCTACTCAGTTCCCTTCCCTCCAGAGTTTCTCTTACCTTTTCTTCCTTATTCACAATTCCTTTATAGGTCCTCCACTTGGAGTTGTTATTTTTGAAGTTTATCACAAAACTCTTAACATAAAAGTTGAAATTTGACTGTGTGGATCCTGCAGTCTTAATTCCTTGTAAGAAAATATTATTCATAGGTTAGTCTTAAAAATATTTTATATATAACATGTATTATAATTTCACATTTCTCCCCACCCCCACCCCCACTTGAATTCTGAAATCATCTCTCAGTAGTTGCATTGAGAAACCTGTTCACAGATGAGTGTTTTCACACTGATAATACACCGTAACAATAAGGGTTCACTCCTGAATCCTCGAGATGATAGAGGTATCATCTCTAATCTATACACCCATATTTACAACCTGCACATAGGTTCTTTTCACAGAGACAATGTGAAGAATTTGTTACATTTTAAAAAGATTTCAAGTACCTGGAGTGTAGAGAGAGGAGCATCTATATAAACAGAAAGCATAATTCTAACTGCAAGTCATCTTGCAGTCATAAAACTGCACCTGCACTTGCGTTATTTTCTGTACCTGTTATTTTCTTTTTCTCCCCCAAATCTATCTCCAGCCACTCCCGTTGTCTGTGTTTGTTGCTGCTGTCTCCTGAAGCCCATGACGGGCCTTGGTCCTGCAGTCGGGCTTGGCCAGGAGACCAGTGAATTTGTTCTCCACTCGCATTGACCCATTGCCAAGAGGAAGAAGCTCTGATTTGCCTGTCAGGTTCCAAGCTCAAGGATCTGCTACAACCTAAGAAAAAGGGCAGTAAAACATTTCAGATATAGGCATAAAATGAAAGCAAAAAATAAAAGTACCGCATTTCATCTAGAAATACTCAGCTAATTTACTTCCATTCTGATATCAAATCAAGTGTTTAATTATCAGTTTTGTAATGGCCTTGAATTTGACTCATTTGAACTACAGTTCCTTGAGATTGTTGCTGCTTTTCTTTTTACTAGACCTCAAAGTCACATCTCCTATAAGTGATACCTCTATGTCCCCACTGTAGATCTTCTTTTCTAATCTATTAAATTAACTCTGATTTCAACAAAGTACAATGTGTCTTACAGGTTTAAAATGCTGAGTTTCTTCTCACTTTAAAGGATTTAGAATCAGAGGAAACTCCATTCTTTCTGTATCCTTTAAAATAAGACATGTCCAGGTCCTGTGAAGATCCTTAAACTGTACCCAACATTCATCCATAGGACTTTACACCATGTAATTTATAGTGCTTATCCATTTTTCCATGGACTGTTTTTGCCCAAGACTCTGGGTATTCCAAGGCAATAACAGTTTGATTAAAAACTGTTCCAAGTCATTTCAAATGTGTATATGCTTTTGATCTTGAAACTGTTGACACCAAGTTATTATTCTGTCAAAGGGATGTTTTAAAAAATTGTACACATGCCATTAAAAAAAACACAAAGAAACCTTCCCCTCCATAACCATGCTGTCAGTGGTAAAAAACACCAAGAGATCAAATAAAAACCTAACTCCTGAGAGGTTTGTCATGAATCAAAAGGAACAATAACAAAAAACCTCCTAAAAACCCTCATTAACCTTATGGAACATCTTCTAAAACACTCATTTACTTTCTTAGCACAGATAAGAACATGCCTGACTGATCCAAGTGACCCTCGCTGGGAGTGCCACAGGCAGAGCCAGCCACAGGGCACACCATCAGCTGCCAGGAAAGTGGCACGGGAGTGGCAGCGCGGATTTGTGCTCAGAGGCATGCTGCTAAAACAATCTTCAGAAATGCTGAAGCTGCAAACGCCATTAGATTTGTGTCCTTTTTCCATTTGTTTTTCCAGTGCAGTCAAATGGCAGGTTTTGTCTTTGTGTGCTAATTGCAGTAGGGTCATTGTGCAAAATTACAGAATTTTCAGGGCCATTTTCTTTCAAAAGGAGGGAAATTAGCATTAAAAAGGGATATTCCTGGATTGTGCTATTAAAACCTAAGTCACGTAAGAATGTAAGTGGTATCCCTGGAGAGTTTGGTCTCTGGTTCCCAGACAAAAGTCAGTGACAGATGACAGATGAATCAGGCAGATTCCTAGACAAAGGTGCGGCTTTCCTTGGGGCTACGGACCCAAGTCAAGAAGTGCCTCAACACCAGAGCGCCAACCCACCTAAGCCATTACTTCCCTCCCAACAAAAGATGACAATTACTGAAAGTGAATCACAGTGTGTCTCCTGGAAGTACTGGTATTTGGGGAAAAGAGGAGGAGGCCAATAGCTTTTTCTCCTAGAGGCTATGGTTATGTTAATGAAAAACCTAGAGTAAGACATTCTGGGTGATAAAACCTTTTATACACTTTAGATTCTTTCTCAAGTCTATCTTGGCATAAAGGGCAAAGCAACACAAGCAAACAAAAAGCCAGTTCTTCTCAACAATTTCCACCAAAGTAGCCCCAATCACAGAGGAAAATGCACTTCTAGGGTATATGTGGCCCAAAACAACTCTCTACAAGTTGGAAAATTTTTTTGAAGGTTTTTGTTTTATCTTTAAAAGTCAAAGAATGTTGTATTCTACTCTATAATATATCTGAGAGACATAAACCATTTATATATAAAATAGAGACTGTTTACCTTGTGCCTTTCCCTCTTTGGGCTTAAAATAACTCGATATGCAAGACATAATGATTAGATCTTATTGCAGTATGTTGGACATGTATCATTCTAAAAAATGATCACAGAAATCTGCTGTGATTATGAGTCAAACACTTAGTATTATTTCCTACTTTTCCTATTTCTTTTGTTCCTACTGTAACATAAACATTAACAGCTGACTTCACATCATTGTCCTTGTAAGTCACCGACAATGGTCAAAAAAAAAATATTGGGGGTGGAGGTACAGGAAATATAGGAGAACAATTCTTGAACTTCCTGGTTTTCCTACAGCACAAATCATTTAGCAGAACACACCAATTTAACTGACTACAATTAGGATCCTATAGTAGATTGGTTTCTTTCTATCACTGGCCACCATGCCTCATCTGAGCATTTTGACTAAGAAGCGTTTTTTAAACTTTAAATTTTGCCAGTACTCTGTAAGTGAGTGATTTCTCAGAACCCCATTTTATTCTCAGGATACCCTGGTGAGGAGGCCTAGAGAAGTTTCCGTTTCTTTTCTCAAAGATGACCTCTGAGATCTTGAGGGGCCACTATCTGCTTCCTGCCAAGACTTCACCATGAATAACCCCAAACTCCAATCACTGAAGGAAGCTCAACTTTCAGGGGAAAACCAGGATCAAATCTTGTTTTCTTTTTTTATTGCCCAGGCTAGAGTGCCGTGGCATTAGCCTAGCTCCCAGCAACCTCAAACTCCTGGGTTCAAGCGATCCTCCCGCCTCAGCCTCCCGAGTAGCTGGGACTACAGGCATGCACCACCATGCCTGGCTAATTTTTTTTGTTATATATATTTTTTTCAGTTGTCCAGCTAATTTCTTTCTATTTTTTTTAGTAGAGCCGGGGTCTCGCTCTTGGTCAGGCTGGTCTCGAACTCCTGAGCTCAAACGATCCTCCCGCCTCAGCCTCCCAGAGTACTAGAATTACAGGCTTGAGCCACCACGCCCAGCCCAAACCTTCTTGCAAGATGGGGAAAACAGAAATGACAGTTCCTCTGGGGTCCCCACAAGTGGTGATGGTTGAAACAAACTTCTGAGTGAATTTAAAAAATCTCTAGGTCCTTTCTGGTCAATAAGACTGGAAATGGAATTTAGCTAGAAGGCACAAATGATTACTCAGTCACTAAAGAGTCTTAAAGTTAAGAGTATTGATCTTCAGTATGAATTCCAGCTTCCCCTCTTTGGGTAAATAAAACATTGTAAATAAAACAATGTTAAATATTTCATATTTTAAATTTGGGTATATTAGTGTGACATAATGCTTGAATCAGCACCTATTTTTCCTCAAAGTTTAAGCTATTTTAATGTTTCTATAACTAACATCCCATTATTTCACATCATAAATATAAAAGGGGGTAGGAATTTGGAATCAAGACCAAAGCTTTAATCTTAAATGTCTTATATAAGAATTTAAAATTTAAAGAGATATTATTTAATAAACTTCTTTGACTCTTCAAATTCCAAGTATAATAGTAATTGTGTTCAATCCTAGACAGCTTGGGCTACCTTGATCAATTTTCTATTATCTAATGTGCTCAAATGTCTCCAAAATTATCTTCTAAAAAGAAAGTGACACCTTATATTTATGCCCTTTCCGGGTCTCATATTACATTGACCTTTTTGAACAACAAAGAACTGTTCAGGGAAGACACTTCAGTTTGAAATAACCTAACATCAATGCAGTTTTGAATGCAAAGGAATCCACCCAACAAAACAGTGAAAAGCAAAGAAATTTAATGCAGATTTAGTTCTGAGTCCTGGGGGAATATATGACCTCAGAATTTCTAATGTTGGAAATTGTTATAAGCAAGCCTTTTAAAGATGACTTTAAAAAGTGCGTGTTGTTTGCCAAAAATGCATAATCTGAATTTAATCACCAGGGAACATCAAACCAACCCAAGTTGACAGACATTCTACAAAATAACTGTTTAGTACTCTCGAAAGATAAGGAAAGACTGAGGAGTCATGACAACTAAACGCTTCATGACCTTTTATTGGATTCTACACTAGGAAACAGACATTAGCATTTCTTTTGAATAGAGTCTCAGTTACTTTGGTCCCATAAATAAAAACCCAGAATTCCCTTAGTTATAGTGAAAAAACCGTATGTACTAAGCAAAGTATGATACTTCTTAAAGATTTTTTCTGCCAGGTTTGACACACATGATCTCAAAAGTCAGTATTTATATAATTTATCCAAAAAATCATATAAGTTTAAGAGTGAAATTCATGTTTAAAAATACCTTTCAACACTTATTTCTTTCCTTAAAAAACTTAACATATTTTCTAAAGTAAAGTTGTTATACTTAACTTTGTCAACTTTTGTTTTCTGGTTGTTTCAAGGATATTTTGAAAAGAAGAGTCAGTATCTTAACTCAGCCATAGATATATAAATACATTCTTCTAATTGATGCTTGAATTTGGAAGACCCCCTTAATTATAATATATGACAAACAAAAGAATAATAATCCCATCTTGTCTTTCTTAGGTCTTCTAACAACACTGAGATCAAGTGTATATTTTGCCTGATTGCTGTGAAAGTTGGTGTGGGTGTTCACATTTGTTTACAGTACATTTTGTTACCAAGAATGTAGATTCTAGAAATGCCCAAAGTATATAAACATTTAAAACAAAATTGACATGAGGATGAACCATTAAAAATTAACTGCATAATGATGAAAACTGTACAACTTCAGCATATTCACAATGGTTAATGTAATAAAATTCCAAGTATGTCCACTCTTGGCAGAGCTTACAAACACTGATGCCAGAAAACATTATTCTTTTTCAAAACATTAACTCCATATTCTAAGTTCTGATAGTTTTGACTCTTAAAATTCCTTGGCAGCGGGTTTTAACAATTAGTTGATTAATGAAAATTATCAAGTTTGATAACCAAAACTATTCCCGTTTCAGCCACACGTATAGTCGGTACAAGCCACCTTACATGGCGATTACAGGAGGTATTCAGAACATGCATTCCCTCCCTGCTGAGTTTCAGCCAGCATCTCCTGTACCGCTGGCCCA